TTCGTCGTCCATGGGAATTGAACCTTAGACCTGCCACTTGAGAGTTGACAACCTATCCACTTCACTAGGTCACCACACCTCTTTTTTTTTTTTAATATTAAAGTCTCTATTTTCAATATATGATATTTTTATTTAAGTATATAGAACATGGATTGCCTTCAGAGGCTTTCTATATTAGAGGTTACAACTAACCACATGTGCACTTTTTAGTACCTAATTTAAATAGTCTGCTTATACATTGCTATATAAGTTCTATACTAAATGCTATACATGCAAGTCAACTAAAGGTCTTGCCTATTTAAACTCTTTGTATATGCAATTCTTTTTGTATTACAAGAACATTTTCAAGACTACATATATCCAAGTTCCTAATGCTAGTTAGTACCTTTAGGACTACTTTATCTTTAACAGAAAACTTACTAAAGTCTTTATATCTCATACATACTGACCTAGTTTTATACAACAAACTATAGTTATCTAACATTTGCAGTTATAAAAGTTACCTGTTTAACCACTATATTATATTATTTTTATTCTTGTGAAGTTCATTAGAGCTCTGATATTTATCTTTCTGGTATCTTTTTCATTATCTCCTACTAGCCACAACTCAGAACTGGCAGTCTCTAGCCAGATTACCAATTCAAATAATCCAATATAATATACTTTTATATTCTTTTTCTCTGGCAAGTCTGATGGCCTAATTGGTTATATGCTTCTCTACATATATTTGATATTTAGTTTAATATTCAGTTCTTATAAAGATGTTTCATAGACTTTAATCAGTCTGATAGTACCATTAAAAGTTTATACTACCTTTTTACTCAGGAATTTTCAAGTGAGTTTTTATTATCTTGATTCTTTAGTTTTCTACATTTGGTGGTCTTATTGTGGTTTTGCATTAAAGTTTTATGCAATACTGATTATATATTTCTTTATATATATATAATATTATACTTCATATAGATGCCTTAAGCTTCTAATATCAGTAGAATCTGACTTGATATATCTTGGTTACAGCTATATAAGACTAATCAATCAACAAAAGACAGTTATTATAATGCAAATATAATTTTAAATTTCATCATAATAAGATTTGAACCTTAGATCTGCCATTTGGAGAATGACAATATAGTTAGGAATTTTACTATATTTGGTAATTGACAATTGCATTCTATTTAGCAATAATTATCATTCAGATTATTCTAGACTTTATTTCAGATTGTTCTATGTACTACAATAATTGACCAATTAAATTAAGAGCTTATATTAATATTAAACAAGTAAAAACTTCTAAATATAGGAATAAGAGCATGTATATATATATGTACATACATCATTGTTCTAATATTATATTGCCTGCTGTCTAATTATTACTAATACAAAAAATTTACTTGTATGCACTTATATATGAGTTTAATTCAGCATTTACAAGATTATACTGTATTCTATTGCCATTGCAAACCTAGCATTGAACCTATTATAGAACTAAGGCTTAATTAGCTTAAGCCTTCTAGTTTTAGATTAGTAGTCAATATTATTACTTAGAATAAATTACTGGATTAGTATTGTCAGGCCTGATTTTAAACAAGCACTGAAGTACCTAAGTGATCATTTTCTTATAACTCTTGCTATTTTGTCAATGATTTTTACTAACAGCATTATTTTCTTATTACTGTATTGTTGCTATTTGTCAACTTAGTCAATATTGAATATTTATAAGAGGTATTCTTATGTTAATTAGAGTAGAAGAGTATAATGATTATTAGGCAATTGGGTATTTAGAATAGGCATTCAATTCTGCATTGGTCAGTTCTTATTTTATTCTTCATAAAAGGTATTCTTTACATTAATTAGAGCAGAAGAATATAATAATTATTAGGCAATTGGTTATTTAGAATAGGCATTTAATTCCATGTTGGTCAGTTTTTATCTTATCCTTTATCAAAATGTTATTTTGAGTAGTTCTGTAGTTATACAAAATTGTATCATTAATAAGTTTTGTAAAATTCAATCTTTAGTTATGCAGGCTAAAATAAATAAAGAAATTAAATAAAATTTTGTATGCTACTGTATATACTGCAATACTGATATATAAATTTTAAGATTTATACATATGCGCAACTAATATATATATTTTAAGTTTTATATACATCCACAACTACTTTAAGCACATGTCTAGTTTTCTACATAACTTAAAAAGATTCCAAAAGCCAAAATTAAAATTAATTATAAAATAATTAACTCAATATAAAACTTAAAGTTACACATTCTGCAATTACTGAATTATTATGAAAATAATCTTTATTAAAATATTTTTATATATGAAATTTACATTTGTTTATTACAGCATTACTATATATAATTCTATTGCACTTTCTATATTCTCATACAATAACAATACTATTCTATATTGTTTAATATTAAATCTATACAAAAAAATAAATTTTTTTTTCTATAATTTTTTTTTAAAAAATTCAGAAAATACAATAAAAAAGTGCTTTACCTGTCTTATACTTCATTATTGGTACTAACACTATTGTTAGCTAATACATTTCTAATTTCTTGAAGAATAATCATTAAGTTATCACGAGACTTATTTGACAAACCTCAAAAATGTGATCGATCTGCATCACCTAAAAAAGGAATTAAAGAGTAAATAATAGATAAAATTAGCAGTCTTGTTAAAGAACTATCAGTTTTTTGAAGACTGCCTCTTCACATATTATAGATACTGGATGCCAAATACTTAATAAAAATTTTTTAATTAGTTTTGCTTCAATAAACTCAATTCTCTTTAAACATGCAATTTCACTAAATTGTTTTATTTCTTTACTTAGCATCCATTTTTCACTTATATTTTAAAAAATCTGATTATCAACATTTGGATTTACAAACTGAGATTTTCTTATCTGAGCTTAAAATCAATGTGATTTAGAAATATAACTAAGATGTACTCAAGGTTCATGAGCTTCATTTTCAGAATATTCTATTAAATTGAAAAGATTGGTATATAACTTCACAAACTTTGTACAATTACAAGCTGCAATTTCTCAATACTATAGTGAAGATATTAGAGGAATTAAAGACTTGAGTGATTTATTAATCTCTTCAAGTATCGCATCATAACCTTGATGTTGATTCAAAAGTTTAGATCATAAGGTTACAATTCTTTTTTGAATTAAGTTATAAATTCCAGGTCTTAAACATAACATTTGTTCTTTATTATAAATCTCAATTAATTGATAAATTAGATGGCATCAAGCAAACCAAATAGGTGCAAACATTCATTTAGCTGCAAGTCTTAGTAAAGGCCTATTAAAATGAACTCCAGTGTGAAAGTTAATAATTGATTGCAAATAAACAAAAATTTGCTCATATTTCAATTTAAATATAGAATCAGTTTGATTTTGAGCCTATTTTAAATAACTTTCTACAGAAGGATTTTTATCAGAAATGATATACAGCCACATTAACTCCAAGGCCATGGCATGTCTATATATGTTATATACTGAATCTCATGACTTATAATAATCAGAGCACTTTTTGAAAAACTGAAGTTGATTCTCTGTTCGATATTCTTAACATTAAGCAAAATCTTTTATGTTGATATTCCAATTTAACTTAATAAATGCTTTTAGTTTATTCATTTCTTCATGAAGAGCATCTAGAATTAATATAAGCCAAAAAAATCTTTTTTTATTTTTAGTATATGATGATATGGTACATTATTACAAGTAACTATAACCCATTTACAACTATTTTCCTTAACTCCAGATATTCTTCAATATGTTCAAGGACTTTTTGAACATTAGCAATCAAGCTAGAATTAACTTCTATTGGATCAGAAATAAATACTTGTGGTGTATAAACTTCATGAGCTAAATGTTGCTTATTTGATTCCTAAATGTATAAGAATTAATAACTAAAGACTTTTCATTAGTATTTACTATATTAGCTGATTCATCAAGTTGCTGATTTATTTTAGTAATCATCAGTAATCTATTATAGCATGTAGAACAAACCTACTTCTTGTTATCAATATTGGAGATATTACAAACTGAACATTTTTTTATACAACTTGTCTAACTTTAATTACATATCAAGTTATTAATTATATTTATTTTTTGATTTTTTTTAACACAAAGTTCTTTTAAAATAGTTAAAAGATAATTAATAAGCTCTTTGTGAATTTCATTTTCCATATCTGATGTTAAATAAAATAATTCTTTATATTGCTTTTGGGTAAGTTCGGAATGTAATCAAGGATCTGTAATCTGAATATAGTTATTTGGAAAATTAAAAGCAACAAAACTTGTAGCAGTATAAAATATAACCATATTATGCCCATGGTCCAAATAATTTTTTTGGCCTTTTTGTTTATTGTCAAAAGCCAAAAATAGAAGACCTTTGGGAAGTAGTAGCTGCTCTATAGCTAAACTTTTTAACCAGTTAGTAAATTTTAAATAGCTGCCTAAAAAATAAAATGCCTTAAGAATTTATAAAATTAAAAAAAAAAAATCGATTAATAACAAGAAATAACATAAACCAGAACTAATAATATGATTGTTAATATTCACAATCATTTTCAACCTTGCCAATAAATATTTAATTGCTGAAGTAGCCAAATTGATTGCAAAAACATATTTTAAGTGCCTTGCTTCATATATAGCATCAACAGTTATAGCACTTTTAAAAAGCTTCTCTTCTTGTTATTGTTTATTTTTATTACAAATAAGAGTTTCTATAAACTTTACAACAACTGGTTTTATTCTGCAAGCCATTCAGAAGTAGAATATTCTAAGAGGCTATCCAAAAAAAAATCACTTTTTATTTCTCATCAAACCTAATATGTTCTCATACAAATTATTTTGCTCTTTTTCAGCAATTTCTATAATAGACTTAATATGATCTTGTTGGTTAGTAAATCTTATATTTAACTTTTTTTTTAACTCTTTATTCTTGGCTAATAATTGTCTATTAGCACTTTCTAGCTTACTAATTCATCCTAAAAGACTTTCATATATTGGTTTTGGCAAAGATACTTGAACTCCAAAGTTAACAGAAGCTAGATTAACTTGAGCACCAAAATTGATAAAAGCTGAATTAACTTGAGCACCAAAATCGATAAAAGTTGGATTAACTTGAGTACCAAAATTGATAGAAGCTGGATTAACTTGAATACCAAAATTAACAAAAATTTTTTTATTAGAAAACTTTAATCTTTTTCTTTTGCTCTTATCTAAATTTAAAAAACTTGATTTATCTGCTAATTGTTTAATAAAAAAAGGTTTAGCAATAATCTGATTGTAATACTATTTACATAAAGAATAGCTTTTTAAAAAGTTAAGAAATGAAGTTATTTTAGTAAAATACTTAGCCAATTCTGTTAGCTTTTTCATTGCTATTAGCTGATGCATTTTGCCACTATTGCTTTTCATCAAGTTTACACTTATTTATGTGCTTTAGTAAATTACTTGCCAGGTGCTTTTTAACAAAAGAAGCAAAACGACAAGGCAGTGTTTTGGCTTCTACTTTTGAACTCATTGGTAAATAATATATAAAATATGTGTAATTTAAGTGTTAATTTAAAGAAATCTAATTTGTTAAGGCTTTGGGATTTTCATAGATTCTAAAAATATGTGTTAAAAAATATGTAATTCGATATTTAGACTTGATCTTTATTGCAGTACTAGATTGATAAAAGGTTATGAATTTATCTATAAAAAAAAATTAGTATAGCACCAATCACATGTTAGTGCATAATTTAGATTATTCTAGAAACGATCTTTGAATTTTGACTGTTCTAGAAATGATCTTCAAATTTTGAAAAATCCCTGACTACAATATAATTACTATTCTAGAATCATCATCCTTAGTATTAGAAAATTTTATATAATTATAAATATATATAATTTTAAGAATTTTAATAAAGGGGGTGTGGTGACCTAGTGAAGTGGTCAGGTTGTTAACCTTCCAAGTAGTAGGTTGGGTGTTCAAATCCCATCGATGGTAAAAATTTGGATAATCACCTATGTAATATTTGTATTACAGCAACTGTTACTAACAATTAGGTTAGAATACCTGTAATG